CCCCCCCCCCCCCCCCCCTCATTTTGTCACGCTTTCTATCTGTCCCTCGGTCTCCGCTGGTCTGGTGTCGTCTGTCCGTCTGGCTGTCTCTCTCGCTCGCTCTTTGTCTCTTGTTCTTGTTCTTCTCCCTCAAAAATCTTGTCCGATCCCAGTCTATTTTATTCCAACTACCTCAGGATTGCGTCATGTTTAGACACCCTCGCCCGATACGCCAGACCCGTTGGCGCAGGGGTAGATTTCCGTTTCAGCACCAGTCATCTTTACTTACACCAGGCGACACAGCAAAAAAGTACTTGTGGCCATTGTCAAGCCCATTTGGTGTTTGTACCCTCTACTTCGCAAACAACCCCGCAGAAATGACGACGAAGCCCCGTGTCACCGATGAATCTAGCCCCGTTGCTGCTGCTACTGCTTAAAACCGAACAGGTGTCCAACCCGGGGTTCCTCCCGACCTCTGTGACGGTAAAATTACCGAACGCTAAGCCGGTCGAAATGGAAACCTGGGCCAACGAAGGGGAACCTACGGCAGAGGTAAAAGGACTACCATGTACCCGAGTAGCCACCCAGAACGGCGCGGGTCGCGACGTTGCGAGCTGTGGCACGTTCAATTTTGATGCGTGTTGTCGGCAACCGGTGTTAAAACTGAAAACACTAGTTCACATCTTGTATGTCGACAAACGGCAGAGACACCAGCACCACCACACCATCGTACCACCTAATCTGTCAATATGTTGTCAACGTATAACATCGCCTGCGTGTATGCAGGAGCTTCGGCAAAACGAGATTATCGACAGACTGAAGGCGTTCTCCCTGACGCCGGACCCGGGGACAGTAGTGGAGGTGTCGGCAGGAGAGGGGCGTCCGTTGGTGATCTCCTATAGCGCCGACTCGCTTTCGTACGGCGGTGTACACGACCTTCCCGTTCTGGTAATTCTACAGCCGAGAGCGTCAACCGCCTCCCCCGTTTGCCTCGTAGAGACTGTTCGTGTTGTGTCCATAACGGATGGGAGGTAAAACAGCGAACCCAGGATGTAAACATTATGGGATGCCTCGGAAGCATCTCGGCAGAACTTGCGGAAGGAGCAAATCGGGACCACACCCAATGCTAGAGAGATCTCGGTTCTACAAGTTACATTACACATCGAAAACAGTGTTTGTTGCACTCACAATGACATTCATGATTTCAACCCCTCTGTTGCGCACACAACGCCAGCTCGTGTATTCCGAGAGCTTCGTGACCTGTTTTGTGCTGTGTTAACGCTAACCGTCGAGTCAAAACTTTCTCGATTCAGGTGAGTATCAAGGAAGGCCGTCACTTCTGGCTGGATCTGAAGGGCACCACCGTCCCGCCACAGTCCCCCATGCTACACGTGCCAACCGGTAAGTTTTGTTTTCCTCTGCGCATGACAGCTCCGACATTGCCGGGTGCCATTTAGTTTGGAGGCACATGTTTTGATGCACGCCGAAGGCTGTACCAAACAACAATTATGATTTGACCAGACTCGAAGTGTACGGCCACCCGTGGACAGGCCTCCAGAGGAGCTACGTGCTCGAGCCGGTGGCGATAGGCACTCCCCTAAGCGAGGCACCGCTGCAAACGACAGAGCTCCTCAACGTGGGTGAGGCAGCCGTCTCGTACAAAGTGGACAGCAGTGGCATCAAGCGGGCCAACAATTCCCAGGGCCACGGCATGCCTGTGAGAACGTCGTGGTCGGTGGTTTCTGTGAAGGTTTCTGGCTTGCGTGGTCCAATCATTCACTCTGAGCATATTCTAACATCTTCAAGACGATCGTCGCAAAGCTTGCCGAGTCTTGCCTGGGGAACAACGAAACCACCATTCGAAACCACGGTAGTAGGGCCATACCATGGACCGCGCATATAACGCTCATCGAATATCAATGACTATGAACGAGAGTCAAACAATGGACAAGGAGAAACAATTACTTGAACGTGATGATTAATATTGAACAAAGTAGCGTAACAAAGATTACTACTTGTGCCAATATGTCCACATCAAACGAAAGAGTACAAGAATACCCAACATATCGCTACACAAGCTGCCCAGAGATCAGGTGTTCGTCCGGCTGGAGGAACCGTTGCGATTATCTTGGTCAGGCGGCCATTCGCATTTGTTGTTTGGGGCGCAACCTAAGCTGACAAGTAGACGTAGCCACTTCATCGGTGAAAGGACGCAGATTCCTTGGTGCTTATCTGTCGTAGAGGTTGATGGACGAATGACATATCGTCAACCAAAACCCTACACAGGTGTTCAGGCTGGAGGAGAAAACCGGATCTATTGCCGGAGGCGGCTCGGCTTTTCTTCGTTGGCGATTCTTGCCTCTAGAAGCCAAGGAATACGTTCTTAGGGTGACCGTACGCACCGTGGAACGACAGCAACATGACGAGCGGTTCGGGGAATGGTTCGGGGAAGGATCCGAGGAGCAGACGCTCGATATCACTCTCAGGGCTGCTGGCTATGACCCGAGGATGCGTGACCCGCACAGGTCAGTTTCGCTGA